AAAATCTTTTTACATGTCTAATGAAAAATTTTGTAATCGTAAATTCTTTTCTTTCTTTATTTCACGGAAAAAAAACAAAAGAAATACATATAAAAAGAAAATCGCGCTATAAAACGTGATTATTAAAGACTATTTATTTGATTTATGCTATTGTTGCCGAATATTATCATCAACATCAAATCGAAATTGTCATGCTTAATCACTGTTGTAGACACACACACATAATATTTGAGCACTCATACGTGTACATACAAACAAGAGTACAAGACGATGTTTAATAAGAAACAGAAATATGCATTATAGTGACTAGATGCAAAATCAATATTAAAAACAAATAAATCAAGAAAGATAGAGTGAAGTTCATTTTTTTAAATTTTTTACTGGAATTCGATTTTGTTCATCTGTTATACAAAGTACATTAGTTGAACTTGTATCATAACAAAGTGAATTATTTGTTGGTGGTGGCGGTGGTGGTGGTGGACGTATTTGTGAATCAAGATTTGTTGATAAATGTTTTGTTAATGAATTACGTTTATATAAACATTCATTTTGTTCATCATCATGTTGAACAAGTGTAATATAACAATTTTTTGATGCTAATGGTAATGCTGGTTCATCACTATCATCTCCAATTGATGAACTAACATTAAGATTATTATTTGCATCTTTATCTTCAGATGGATTTGGTTTTTGTGGTGTTATACGTAAACGTTTAAGTACAAACGATAAAGCAATAAGAGTAAGTACAGTAAGTATAAGCATTGTTGTCATCATAATATGAAGATTACTCAGTAGTGCTGATGCAAATAATGGACCAACTGTACGTAAAAAAAAACTATTTTTAGTAAACTATTAAATCAAAATAAATGTTGACTTACTTATTGTTCCTATACCCATAATAAATCGTTGAATACCTTGTGAAAATCCTTGTAATTCTTTAACTGTTAATTTTGTAAATAGTGATACACTTGTTGCTGCTAAAAATGGTAAACCAAGTAAATCAAGAATAACGAAAACAATAAACATTGCCAAAAAACGTTTATCAACAGAACCACTAGCTGATTGAGCTGACCAACCATATGAATAAGATGCCCAAGTAAAAAATGTTCCTAATATACAAGCAGTTGTTACTGATAGAAAGCCAAAGACAAGTAAAAATCGATCTTCGAAACGTTTTGATAAAATAAATACAAGTAATACATAAATAATAATAATTTCTAAGCCAGCAAAAGCAAATAAAATAGATGTATCTACAGTAGTCCAGTGAAAATTCTTTTCTGTAAATGCTGAGACTATTGTTTCTAATGCGGTTTGGTTAAAATAAGCTATAAATGTTGCAAAAAATAAAACAAACATTTCTATACGTATATATTGTTCACGATAAATTTTTGATGATAATTTCTGTTGATCTTGTTTTGATGGATGATCAGATCGTGTATATTTATGTTTTGGAGAATCATCTGATGTTGTTGGTCCTGTTGTTGTTGATGGAGTTCGATCATAGAAACAAAACCAACAAACAATATGTAATATTAACCAAATAGATGCCATTAAAAATCCTGGACCATTTAATTTATTAACATGAACAGAACCTAAAAGAGATTTTAGTTTTAATTCAAAGACATTTTTTTTTGTAAGTTATTTAACTAACCAATATAAAAATCCATCTTTCGTACAAGAAGTGTAAAACATGGACCAATTAATAAACCTAACAACAAAAATAAGAACATTTAAGAAAGCTGACACCCATCGTTTCAATCTGTTAATCAACAAAGAAGAAACCATTTATTTTATTGATTTCCCAGAAGAGAAAAGAATTAAAAAAAACAGAGGAAGAGTTAAATTCTTACCAAGTTGTCGACTTCCAAGAATAATAGCAATAGCTTTTGTTCGATCTTTTTCTGTTGTACGATGAGCTACATCTGCCAATATCTATAAATATAGATATAAAATATGCAATTTTATATTAGAAATATCTTACTGGAGGTACAGCACCCATACCAACTCCAGAAATTAATCGTCCCAATAGAACAATATGAATATTATTTGTAACAAAATATAAGATATTACCACCTATTGCAAAAATATTTGATACTAATATAAGAATTTTAACTTTGCCAGTTGTATCAGAAATTTTTCCCATTATAACTCCAGTTATCGAACCAGATATACTATAAGAGGAAAGTATTAAACCAACATGAATACTAGCATTTGACATTGATTGAACATAGTCAAAAGCAGTAGGTAAAATAACTGCATATTCAACACCAGTCATAAAAGCAAATAAACATATGGTACCAAATGTTAACATTACACGTCGATGACCATGTGTCCAACGAAAGAAATCAGCTGAATGTGTTACGGATACTTTTGGTTCTTTATCATCATCATCATCTTCAATAACATCTTTAAGATGTACAGATGAATTTTTTGGATAATTTGTTAATGATGTTATATGTTTCTGATTTCCAGTTGATAATTTATTATTAAGAGATTTTTCTTCTGTGAGTACATGTTCAGATGTTGATATAGCATCTGCTTCTTGACTACTCATTGATGATCGACGATGTGAATCAAGTAAAGATCCATGCATTTCTCCGTTGGTATCTAAATCTAAATGATACATATGAAAATTACATCTGTATAAATAAATGAATCTGATAATTATCAATAGATATATCTTTGGCTTAAAAAGAAATGAAGAACTTGCTTAACTTGTTAACTCTGTTTGTTATTACGTGTCATTATATATATATATATATTATTCTAGTACAAACAACATTATAGTAAGAGTTGTCTAAGTTAGAGAGAAAGATAAAATACGTGTACTGTGTAGAACTGAGCCGAGCAATGGATGCAGAGACATCATCAACAACAACAACAACAGATTTTTTTTCTTTCTCATTCGATTGACGTATCGTTTGTTGTTAGCGATGTAAGAGGAACAGAGAATTGTGTGCATGGTAGACGTAAGAGTAGAAATTCCTCCCGACGAAGATTCTTTTTTTTCTTTTCCTTTTCCTCTATACTGAGTTTTGTAGAAGGAAGAAAAAAGACGAAGAAGAAGAAGAAGGCAACATGTGGGTTAAAGATCGAATATATTTCTAACCGTATAAATTTGATTAAACTAAGAGATCATTAAAAACGAAAAAAAAGAACGATTATGCAAAGATAAGATTGAAAGAATGATCAATATTATTTTAGAATGTCGGATTGGATGTATCAGAAATAAATCCCATTAAATAGAATGTATATGAAATAATGATAGTATCGAAACATATATTAATCATGGGCCATTAAAAGAATCAAGTGTACGAACACTCACGCCCTTTATAATTTATACCGAAAAGAAGAAGAAGAATGACTGATGATCGATTCTCATGTAAATAGAAAAAAAACAATTTGTTCGTAAAATTTCATCTAACGACAAAATCTGCAATTCATATAAATAGTAATAGCTTTTATATTATAAAAAATAATTTGATTATTGATATTTATATGTTTATATAGTAATGCATAATATAGCAACCACTTTTTAATGTCGCACCTGTCTATTACCATGGGCAACTATTTGTACAGGAAATCACAAAAAAATTTCTAATTAACTTTCATTCATGTTTTCTTATATGAACTGATTAAAATATCTAATAATCTTATTTATAAGGTTTTTTCATAAAACATAACTACAATAAAAAATAGAGAAAATAATTCTCTTTTTAATCATTGAGAATATAATATAAGATAAAATCAAATAATTATGAAAAAAACATAAAACAACAAACTAACCGGGTGTAAAAACCATTTAATATTTAATTGCGACGTTGGGACTAGAAATAAAATAAATAACAAAAAATATATGTTATTATTATTGGTTGACATTCAGTTTTATACCGATTTTATGTTGATATTAATAAATCAATACCTTTGCTTCTTTTTCTTCAGACATACTTCATTGCTTTAGTAATATTTATTTGATACATATGTCGTAATCATGGTTAGTTGATCAAGAGAAAAAAAAATACAAGTCGATAATATTCTTTGTTTCGTTAACGTGGCTTATATTTATATATATATGTGTGTGTGTGTACAACGTTTACATGTCATCTGGGGTAACCACGCGGATAAACGTATCCATCGTTCTTGTAATTGCAATGATAAGAAAAGAATAAAAATACTCGTATATATAATAAGAACAGAGAAAAAGCAAAAGAAGCAGGACTGTCAACTTTAATCTATAATGAAAAGAAGCAAAAAAAAATGGTGAAGATTTTGTTCATCTAATTTGAATGATCAATCTATATCATTGTATGTTAAGGTTAAAGTCAAGAGAAGAACTGATTTTTGTTTTATTCTCACACGATAGTAATAATAACATAGACGTAAAAGACAAAAAAGAACAGGACCAAGACATAAATGTTTCTTTTTCTTTTATAATTCGTTCAGTTGTTTAATAAACCGTGAGAATCAAAGAGATAATAGACCTTATCAAAGTCAAATGAAAAATTGAACTATACATTAAATATGAAATGAAAACTAACAATAATAATGTTGTGAAAACAGAAATATCGGTAAAGAAAAATAATCACCGTCTTGTATTTAATAATAATAATAAAAAAAAGAAGAAGAAGAAGGAAAAAATATTTTTAATTGTTTATCTGTGCCAAGTCATACTAGATGGTGTTCTTCTATCAGTAAAAAATGAACGAAGTAATAATACAGTTCCAATAGCTACGATTATTATTAAAATAAATTGTCCTATTGACCATATTTGTACACGTTCTTGAAGATCTTCAGCTCGAGCACGACCAGTGGCTTCACGTAAACGATGATGTGTTTGATAATCAATACATGATTCAAGATTTCGATGAATATTACCGACTTTTGATTCAATCTAATAGACAAAAGAAGAGAATTTTGTTTTTTTTTCAATAAATAAAATATAATTTACCATTGTTAATGCACCTTCAGCAACACGTGGATTTGCACTACTGATTTCATGTTCAGGATCACCATCAACTCTCCAATCTATAAATAATAGGAAAAAAATGAAAACTTATTTCATTTTCTCATGTGTTTTTTGGTATACAAACCTATATAAATAACTTTGTGAGTATAAGTTGAAAATTCATTACTAAAACAAAATTGATAAACTCCATCTTCATCAGCAGTTCTTTCGATTTGATCATATTGTTTTTTTTGTACTTGAAATAGAATTTTACCCGATGGACTTTTTAATTCAACATCAACATCATAATTTCCACCAGTTACAACCTGTTTCATATATGTATATATTTTCAATATAAATTCTTCTTATTTACCTGAAATTCTAAAGTATATTTTGAACCAATTTTAAGTTTTTCATGAAAACATTCTTTTGCATTATCAGGCAATTCAAAAGTTAATTCATTACAACAAATTTGTTTTAACAAAAATACTATTAAGAACAATGGAATAGGTAAAGATAATTTTAACATTGTCTACAAATAAAACACAAAAGATTAGTTGAATAGTTGGGTATATAATTACATTTTGTAACACATACACGTATTACATGGCGATTAACTTCAACCAATCAGCGTATTACGACCACATCATCACACGCCATTCATATTATTTTTTCCGTTAATACAACGACACTCGTTTTCTTATTGGATATTACTACATACGTGTTACTAGGCAACCTGTGGACATTTGATACGAATAATGGAAGTATTTATTAATAAATTAAACCGGATATAATTATTATATAAATATGCCAGATATGGATTTACTTTATCAAGCAATAAGTTTATTTCGTCGTCGTCAATTTGAGCCATGTGTTGAAGTAACAACTCGTTTACTTATAAAAAATCCAAATGATCAAGTAAATTATATATTTTAAAGAGTAATCGAAAATATTTCTAGATTTTAGGTCGCATGGTTACTTAAAATGCGTGCATTAACTGAACAATTATATGTTGATGAAACTGAAGTAGCTGATGAAGGTCTTGCTGATATGTTAGATGAAAATGCATTTCAACAAGCACCTATGCCTGGCACATCAATGCGACAACCAACAGCTAATCCAAATAGTGGAATGAATGGACCAAGTCCAGCAATGAGACCAATGACTATGTCTGGTCGACCAATAACGGGTATGGTTCGTTTAAATACTCAATCAACACAAAGTGGTAAAAGTATGGAAAATATATTAAAAACTGCTCGTACAGCAGCTACAGCACGACCAGTAACAACAGCTACTGGTCGTGCTGTTCGACTAGGAACAGTAAGTACTTTTAAAATTTCTTTTTTTTCAAAAAAACAATCGAGTGAAATTTTTGCGAAATACAAAAAATTATTTTAAGTCATTCGCTGGTGTTAAATTAATACCAAATTTCATCGGTGTATTATTTTGTTCATTATCACCACAAATACATCGACAATTGAGACGATATTCAGGTATATTTATATATTCATGAATATCACGTAAAAATTCTAATGAATTTGTTTGACATTTTGAAATTTCTTTACTTGCATCACAACAACATTTACAATCAATAAATGAAACATTAAAATGATCTTTTAAATAACCATTTAATATTGTTGATGTTTGTTTTTGATTATAATCACGTGTAGATGAATTTGTTGAACTTGACATCTAACTTATAATCAATAGAAAATAATAGATAGAGAAAAGATATTTACGCGCGTTATATTATTTCTTTTTTAGGCTTCAATGTTAAGTACACCTGATGGTCCATTTATTCAAGTAGGTCGACTTAATTTACCTAAATATGCGCAAAATCAAGCTCTAGCACATGCACTTTTTGAACATTTATTTCATCATGCAAACGATATCCGAACAGTATGAATACAAAATACACAAACAATTAATCTTAAATTCTTATTTAGGCTCTTCAATTAGCTACAAGTGCTAATGAAATTACCCAAAATAAAGATTGGTGGTGGTTAGTACAACTTGGTAAATGTTATCATCGGTAATTTAATTGAATCTATAAAATACTTTTTTCTATTTCTCTGCTTTTGGATATCATTTTTAGCTTAGATATGTTCCGCGACAGTGAAAAATATTATCTTCTTGCATTAGAAGTTCAACCTATGATCGATACATATTTATATTTAGCTAAAGTTTATCTTCGACTTGATCAACCATTACTTGCTATTACTAAATTACAAGATGGTTTACAAAAATTTCCATTTGAACCATGTTTAGTTCAAGCTATTGCACGTATTCATGAGGTTTATAATCAAATAATATGAATTTTGTTTTTGTTAATTCAAAAATTTTCATTCATAGGGTCTCAATGATATGACACAAAGTATTGACTATTATCGACAAGTATTAAAATTAGATAATACAAATATTGAAGCTATAGCATGTATTGCTGCGAATCATTTCTATAATGATCAACCAGAAATATCATTAAAATTTTATCGTCGTCTTTTACAAATGGGTGTAACAACATCTTCGATATTTACAAATATAGCATTATGTTGTTTTCATGCTCAACAATATGATATGATTGTTACTTGTTTTTTAAAAGCGTTACAAGGTGCAACTACGGATGAAGAACGTTCGGAAATTTGGTATAATATTGGTGAAATGGCATTAGTATGTATTCAATTATTCTTATATTCATTTTTAAGTTGAATATTTTTGTTTATTTAGTATACAGCAGATATTCATTTTGCAATTCAATGTTTTCGTTTAGCACTTGTTTATAATAATGATCATGCTGAAGCCTATAATAATTTAGGTTTAGTAGAATTACAAAGAAATAATCATGAAATAGTATATATAAATAATTATGTTTTTTTTTGTTCATTCAACTAAAATTAAATTATTTTAGGGTCGAGCTTATTTACAAACAGCTCAAGGTCTTGCACCACATATGTTTGAACCATTTTATAATTTTGGCAAATCAATGTACCAGGTAAATTTAATATTTTAGTTTTATTTAAAATTTTTATATATATTTTTTTGTTTCTAGCAAGGTGATTTACAAAGTAGTTTTCGTGCAATAAAAAATTCACTTGATGTCTATAAAAATCATTCAGATTCAAAACAAATTTTCGATGAACTCAAAAGAATGTTTTCAGAGCTTTAAATTAATATATTTTATTTTTATTTATGTAAAATTGTTGTTTCGTTAATCAATGTAAATATTATTATATAAAAATATTCAATATTTAAGTTAATTTATTATATCATAATGAACAAACGACGTGACAATGAATTATATTGATTCGATAAAGAATAAATTCGTTTAAGACTACAACTGATCAGTAAGCTTTTATGAATCTCTAGTAATACTTCTGTACTGTTGATTTTGAATACAAAGTAGAGGAGGATAAAATATTACGAATAGTAACTATAGATCGAATCTTAAATTACACAGTGTGATAGTAAGACATTATTCTTAGTTGAAGTAGAAGTAATAGTCATTTAACATGAAAATGAGCTTATCGATTACATCATCATCATATGACAAAGTTCATTTTATTTTTGATTAGAATTTTCTTGAGTGTTATTCGTCAGCTTGAAATATTAATTAATTCTTTCGAATGCTATATACACATACGAAATTCGTTGTATATTGATTTACATAATAAATTAAAATCACATGTGTCACCTTTTCTATTTTTTATTATTATTGATATGTTAAAAAACAACAGAATTTTAAAAACAAATTCTGTTTTCAATATTCTCTTTGAAATACACATATCTGTAAATATCACATCAAAAACAATCATTATATATATATATATATGTATATTATTTATCGGTTTTCAGCAATTCTTGTAGCTGATGTCGATTTATCACAATTCGATTTATAAACCAAAGTGAACAAATAGCAAGAACAAAACTTGTTACAATATATGAAAGTGTTGATTTGAATATTAACATTATATAACCCATAATAACTGATGATATGATTTGTGATGCAAAATAAGTACTATCAAGTATACCTAGAATAGTGCCAATTCCACGTGTTTGTATAACTGGATTGTCAACAAAATAAATCTAATAAGAAAAAGGAAAAAAAATTTTTTCTTCTAAATAAAAATTTTATTGTTACTTCTCGATTTGCATGATACGTCATAACAAGTGTATAAGGTATGGATGTTAATGATGCCATCCCAAGACCAGATAATGATGCCATTATGTTAATAATATATATATTTCTTGAGATATATATAAAAAGCATAGATATAGCAAAAATAAACATACTAAATGAAAATGTTAAATGATAACCAAATTGATTAATTAATGGTTTAAGAAATGGAGCATATAAAGCACCAACAATACAATGAAATAATAAACCATAGGAAGCCGCACGTACGCCTTGATCATAACGTATACGTTCAACAGCGAATTCATCAGCACTTGGATCACCCATATAAACAGTTTGACCAACAAAATCAGTAAAAAATAAATTAAATGTCATTATTGCTGACCTAGAAATAAATATATCATTGAAAAATGTTTTTTTTTCTTAAAATAAATAATACAAACCATGAACAACATTCAGCAAGTGTTAAACGTCGTAAAACACATGGCATTGTTATAATAGTATGAACTGAATTTGATACAGAACGAAAAATATATTTTAAAAAATGAATAAGAAATAAACTATCGAGGAAATGAGTTTCAGTTGTCGATATTTGATCATCAATAATACTATCATAAATTTTTTCATTAGCAGATATTAATGTACAACAAAGTGTCATAGTAAAAAATAATAATATAACAATAAATGTCAATTTTTCTTGTCCCTGCATATATTTACTAAGAAAAGAATCAGTCCAATCGGTAGCTGTTATTAAATATCCTAAACATCCACCTTAATAAAAAAGAAAAATAAGAGTTTATTTAATATATTAAAAATTAATTTTTTGTTATTCTTTCGTTTACCGAATGATGTCATGAATGAGTAAACAAAAAAACAAGACGCTTCTTGTGGTGTACCTTTACATACATCATAAATTAAGGATTCACATGGATTAAAGCAAGCTTGAGCAGAAAAATCAAATAAAATACATGTAAGAACTAATAAACAAAGACCTAATTTTGGTGCGTGAAGAAGTTGACCTAAAATAATTTATCAATATAAAAAAATTACAATAATCTTTAAAAAAATTTTTCATTACCAATTGATTCGCTTTGTGGAATAAGTATAAGACAAAAAATAATTGTTAAACAAAAGCCAACTATAAAAGGACGTCGTTTACCAAAACGTGATCGACAACGATCACTTGCATGACCAACAACAGGACAAAGAAGAAATCCTAGTAATGGACCACAACCCATTAACCAAGTCATTAAAGTTTCTGATATTCCAGCCTTGAGTAAGATAGGTGGGATATAAGTAAATGCTGATGCGGTACAAAATTCTAATCCACACACAAGAGATGTAATAATAAATAAATGAACTAAATCTTTGTTATAAATTGATTGTAGATAATACATGTTCACAAAAACTCGTGAGATTCATAAGAAAATATTTATTTGTCGTTGATCACAAGGCCACATTTTTTGCAAAGGAAAGTGAACTTTTTTTTTGTTTTGTCTCACATATGCGCACACAAATATACCTTTTTTTTTTGTTATGTTCTATTGTAAATATACATCAATGCTTATGATGCGGTCACTGAAAAGAAAAAAATAGCTTGTCAGATGTAAAGAAAGAAAGAAGAAAGACAAACAGGCCATGACTTTCTCAGCTGCGAGGATACAGAGATGAAGAATATATTACCAATGAGAAACGAACAGCAAATGAGTTCTGTTTATAGTATGTTGCTGTTTTTTCTTCTTCTTATTCTGTTATTGTCAAGCAGTACATCAATATATATCTGCAATTGGTTCTTTGATAAGAACTGTGATAGGTAGCGCTGACAGTTTCACTATATATATATATGTACAAATTTTTATACCGTTATTTACTTATTTTCATTACAGTTGCTTCATTATGTAAATATTTTAATGCCGATGTATATGCTCATGAAAACATATATAAACACATTAAAAATTGTGAAAAAAATGCATAAAATTAACGACTAAATTTCACGCAAAATTCTTATTTTTAAATAAGAAAAATAGGGAGAAATAATGACAATAGCAAAGTAAACATCGCTTGATTGACTGTGTTATTCTGACAAATTATAGACTATATATGATCTATTCATTTACTAGTAACATATAGGAAAAAAAATATTCCATAATAGTATGCATGACATTAGTGAGCTTGAGTTATACATAAATCATGCTATATAGAAAGAATAATAACTATTAGACTGTCTATGCTAGAATATTTTGATAATTTCTATCTATAAATAGAAGAAAAACAATATTGTACAATTTCGTATGATGAAATGACTTTTACCATAGAAATAAATACTATATATTTCAAAAGTTTTACACATACTTATTGAGTAATATTTATCGTGGTAATGATAAAAGATACATAATCGGGCTCTCCACGTAAAAGGTGATTCTGTCACGCTTTATTTGTTTTTTTATAACGCATGAACGACTTTGTATCAAAAAATGAGTACATTTGCGATTTTAGACGAAGAATTATACTTTTTAAAATGGAGTACTTCAAAGTTGTCTATATAACTTCTCACTCATTACAAACAATGCCGACTGAATCATCTACTTCCGTGGACAAGTCGTAATCATTCTTTTATTATTCTAGTTTTCATTTTGAAAATAGAGAATATTCTGTATCTAATTCAATTTTTATCATTAGTTTTAAGCATAATATACTGTATTGAACAGAATTATATCGATATATTAATTAGATGTCAATAGTATTTTCATTTTAAGATAATTTCTTGAGTAATAAATTCGTTTTTATATTTAATGCTCCGATATTTACTTTTAACCCTATAGTTTTAATCATATTTCAATGTCTAAAATATAACCTTGAAAATAATTGAAAATAAATTACAGATTTACGATAATTTGTAAAACAAATAATCGACAAATGACCAAATTATGATATTTATTTAGTGAAAATGATTAATAGGCCAACGAAAACAGACTGTAACAACCTGTGACAACACAGAATATTGTATTTTCGATTCAAAATTACTGTTACTTAGTTACGATAGATTATATGCTCAACTTTGAGAATATTCGCATTTGTAAAAACAGACAAAAAAAGGATCGTTTTTAAAAAATATCTATATTTTTCACTCACATAATAACTCGAAGTAGATAAAGAAAATGGATCCAAGTCATCAGAACAGGATCATGAGAAACTTCGACAATCAGCATCGAAAATAAACACTTTTGTAATATAATCTTGAATATGACTAGTAATATTTCACTCTCTATTGACACGTACTTGATAGATATCACACATGTTTGGTAGCATATATCTTTTAAGAATTCGAAACAACTTCAATTTTTTATTCAAGATTGTATATTGATGTTTGGAAAATAATAATCCAAAAAAAATCAAGAGATAGCGATGTTAAAATATTGTAAATACGTCATTTTCGTGCGAAACAGATATTACACAAGTTTATGTGAATGAACTAGAACGAAATAGATATGATCAAGTATCTCTATAATTCTAGTTTAAGTAGTTATTCAATGAACAAAAGACTTGTTGGTTTTTTAAAACGACTAATACTTAACAATATTTTGAATGGTATTGTAGTTCTTTTCGGAAAAAAATGTATGACTGTAAGAAGAAATTGAAGTGAATACGATGGGAGTTTAGGTACTTTTAAAAATGTTAGACATCATACGAAAGTCATCATATCCTATCAACGTCATTTATGTATTTTAATCAGTTGCAATGAATGATTAGCGCATTCAATTTTTACCTAGTTCTATATTTCATTATCTATTATATGTGCGCAATTAGATTGCTTCTACTGTAGTAAAAAATAGATACATCTTATTTGCCAAGGTATCAATATCACGAACAAGTATATAAATTATTCCTCACTGAGGCATGGCGTTTGATGTTTGGTATCGGCTGTATATTATATATTCATTTTATTTGAGCATTGTATGAAATCATATCTTTCATCTCTAAAGTTTGACTTAAAATGCTTGACTATCTGTATTTTCAAATGTATCAGTTCAATAATTGATCTAATAAAGTTTTATAAAATAAAATTCGGTTTTTATTGGAATTCTAATCATATCGTACTATTACATTTGATTACATTGAAAGAAGAAGAAGAAGGACATTTGACACTATATGCGTTAAAATAACATATAATTTAACACCTCTTCAAAATTCATCAACATTTTTTCTAACATTGTACATACATCAAGTTATGCCTGATTTCTTCTCATATTCAATCAATATATATATATATATTTTGTTCAATGCTGTACGTGAATGAATTTAAATTCAAATCAAAATTTACATTTATATATTTCATGAAAAAAGAAAAACTTTGATGTTAAATGTTGTAAAGAAAATAACTCAATAACAAATTTGTATTGGTTATTAAAAGTAAAATGATCAGTCAAACAAAAAATGTGAAGCGATAGTCCGTAACATAATTTCAATTGTGAATAAAAACTATACCATACAATAAATCTATCTATTGTCACAGTAAATGTATTCTTATTAAATTGAATTAATTCGAAAAAAAAACAGTTAAAACATTTCTTTCTCTAGCAAAATATATTTTTTTGTCATTCCTGCTGTGCTTATTCAATTGAATACAAATATAAAGTGAATGATGATGATCAAGAAAACAATTAAACATTTGATGATCTGCACAGCAAGTGATTTCCGTCAACGATTAACTATTAATTAAATCATTGAGGTCGGTAGACGAAGAAGAAATAAAAAAGGCAACAGTGAGAATGAATCACTTCATGAACAAGACTCTTGAATGATTGTAGTGACATTTTCAAAGAAAAGAAATAAAACAGATTGCATTCAAACGATCAATAAGATAAAAACATTTTCTTGTTTATCTGACATTTCATTGTAATAAGAAATAAACGCATACTATTCAATGTATATATATATATCTCTATTAGAAAAACATTTTTTGCTCTTTTATTTTCTTGATAGATAAGGCTAATGTTTTTTTACTAATCTGATTGATGTAACATACATCTGGAGAAAATAACAATAATCAATTCGTTTGTTCAGTATATATTTATATATTGACAAAAATTAACAGTAGAGTCAAATTTGATATTTACTTGACGTGATTCAATTGTCAAGATTCTATACTGACCACTAGTCTTTCTTCTTCTTCTTCTTCGTAGATATATCAATTTATCACGAAGAAGAAGAGGACAATAAATAGCCTGAAGTCTCATCATTTTCTTTCTTCTTCATTTGTTCATCGCTTGAGAGATGATAGTTCGAAACACACTGGATTAATAATAAAAGCCATTCTTCTCTTTCACTTATGTCTGTGTGTGGCTACACATATTTGTATATATATGTATGTATATATATATATACATATATATGTCTATAAATATAAGTAGATACACACAACTAGTCGTTGCACTTTTGATGAATTATTGCTCTTTTTTTTATAGGAATAAGAAATAGATAATAAATAGATTGAATAGAATAGTAAATCTTATCTATCTTTATGTAGATGAACAAGGAAGAAGACGTAAATCATCATCGACTAGTGATAGTAATAGTTTGTACGTTGTTTGTCTGTTGATTACTAAAATTGATGACGTGTACATACGTGCGATGAACTTTACTTTCGAGAGTCATCGTCTGTTACTTCCTCTATTGAGTATATACACATGTATATAGAAAAAAAAAGAATACGAGATAAGATCGTTGACGAGTCAAGTTTTTTTTTTGTTAGTTGTTAGTATATGTACATATATATCTATATTGTCTGACCGATCATAAATACATGTCCTTGTTCATTCAAACAGGTGAGTAACTAATAGATAGGATTGATTTGTATATATATGACCTTCTCCGCCTTTATTTCAAATTCCACTTAATTATATTTTGTCTCATTTAAATTCTCTATCATTATGATTATAAGTGTGCAAAATCATTTCAGTAGTGAACAAGTTCAATTATAGAATAAGAGAAGAGATACGTGAGTGTTAAAGTGTGCATCTACTAAATTTTATCTTTCCACATATTCTTTTTATGAATGCTGATTGACAAGGGTCATCGGAGGAATACTTGCGGCACCCTGCCGATACGAGTGAACATCAGCATCATCATCATCATCGACGAGAGTCTATCCTCTTCATTTGATATCTAATTGATTGAACCATGTCTGCTACTTCATGATAAAATAGATATCCTGCGTATGTTACCATGTAAAAGGTCATTTACTTCTCGGTTAACGTAATTATTATTCTTTATGAATATTCACTATGCTACTGGTTTTTTTTTCTCGACCATCTGACAAAATAAATAAACATTGTATCGGAACATTGAATCATTCACAAAAAGTCATTCATTCCAATCAATGTGTATATAAGCATATTCTTTCCTAAGTTTCTTTCATCAGTATTTTTTTGGCGAAAATGTCAACAACAGGTGTCCATATCATAATTGAACAAAAAAGTTATATCATGAGTAATTTTGACAACATAGGGATAGTTCTCTCACAGTTTATAGAGAATATATGTCTTCTAATACAATGATTACGTAGGTTAGTCCTTCGATTACATCTATGTATTATGCTCGAAGCAAACTTTTTCATGTTCAAATGTTCATCATAGAGTTCATTCGATGAGAATAGGTAATTGAATAAGGTTGATTCGATCTCTCGTTGAGATAGTCGCGCCTTGTACATTCATGTCCCATACTTCAAAATTTAAGGCCGCTAGCTATTGGACAGATTGAATAATTGAAAATGATCGACACTTTTCTCTTGTGTTTCCCCTATGAGAGAGAGAGCGAGAGCGAGAGCGATAGGGAGAGAAAGAGAAAAAGATGCACAAATTGTTGGTCATCGTCACTTTCTTTTTCTTTTCTCTATTAACTATCAAAGATATACATTAATATTTTAGAATCAAAGCAATGCATAACGTTTTAATACTCATCGTTTTTTATTGTCTCATACATTATTGTAAGTTTATTTCTATATCTTTATTATATAATAATTTAAAAAAAAAACTATTTCTTAGCTTTCGCTTCTGTTCGTTTGGAAAATATAACAGTAACACGAAACGAAAATGTTAAATTTCGTTGTCAATTACCATCGAATTTTTCTTCAAACGAAAATATTCTTCAATGGAAAAAAACTCATTTCAATGATGATAATCTTGTTATTTCAATAAATGGAAAAATTCCAAAAATATTTGAAAAATTCTATCAAACAGATTTAACAACGGAATATAGTTCATTAGAATTATTTCATGTTGACAAGGACGATTCAACAACATATATCTGTCAAACATTTGAAACACAAACAATTCTTTGTCAATATAATCTTGTTGTACTTAGTAAGTACTAGTAATAAGAAACGAAATAATAATAGTAATAACAAGCTGTTCATCGTTTTTCTTTATTTCTATAGTTAAGCCTGAGGCACCATTATTAACAATCAATAAAGTGAATATTGAAGAGTATCAAGCTGTCACATTGACATGTTCATCATCGAATGGAAATCCTTCGCCTCAATACACATGGTATCGCAATGGCACACTTCTCACGTATGATTATCTTCGACAACTTGTTGTTTTCTTTTTTAAAAACTTTTAATTCTCATCTCTCTATTCCAGTTCATTGAATGAACAAGTGATCACAAC